TGATCTCAACGATGAAAAAAAAAAAAAAAGGGGGGGAAAAAGAAGGCGAAGAAGCTGAGCGCCACCTGTGGGACAGTATCACTCGTTCAGAGAGAAAGCACCATCAGAGAGCTGTCCTTGTATGGTTCTGATATTTTTTTATGTATAGGCCGGTGAATGGCAAAATAACATATTTCTCTACTTGTATAATGTTCCACCGGAGAGGTATCGGACCACGAGGAACTTATCTGGCCCATCTCTCTCGTTCGATCTGTCTTGTTTATGGTATGCCAGCAAAACTTTGGCTGCGGTTCCATGAAAATTAATTTTCTTATACTATTCCATTCTCTCTGCAACAACATTTAAACCAAGCGAAGAAAAAAAAAAAAAAATAGGCCAATTGCGTGTAGATAACGAAAGATACTTAGACGATCAAGAAAACCCTCATCCCATCAAAATTTGATCAACTTTCATAATGACTGATTCACCACGACCATCGGAATGTTATTTGTCATGTTAAAAAAAAAAAAAAACGATATCGCCTACTGGGCGTGAGTCAATGTCCTTTAGGCAGTGTACCGTATATTTATGTATCCACAGCACCCCTTACGATGCTCAACAACTAAACTTTAGCACTGGCTACGATAGCCATAAGTGTACTGTTGTTTTATTACTAGTGTTTTATTACTACACTTAATAAAATAGTAAGATTTTTTTAACGGGTTAAAAAAAACGGAAAAAGTCATAATACTTTTACAAGTTCTAATACTTCAATAATAGTTTTTACATTTTTTTTACTTGAATTTCGATGAAAATAGTTAAGATGACGTGTAAAGGACATTTTTCTTAAAAAATTTTTGTCCCATTCGTGGCAAATACTATTATCTAAAATATGTACCTTTTTTCGGAGTCATTAATGTCTTTCTCTTTAAGTTTTGTTTCACAAGTTATACAGTTTATAGTGTAACTACTCTCATGTTCCTTTGTATGGCATGTATAATGACTTTTAAATCCTATAATGATTGTCATAAATATGACATTAAAAATATTCATTAAAATGTGTTTTTCTATGCATTTTAAATTTATCTTTATCACCAAAACCATAAATCTAAGTATTACGCTTAAGAAAATTCTTCTCCTTGATAAATAAAAAACAAAGCTTCTTAAATACGTTGTCAAATCAAGATTATTGTAGGCCACGAACTTTAATTACAAATATATGTGTCAGAGTCACTCGGATAGACACGACCTATGGACACAACGTACCGATTTATGTACAATGTATAAAACTCTAAGGTTAAGAAAAGCAACACAATTCTGAGTACATGAGATACGTTCTTCAAGGTACTGAATGATCAGAGATCGCCTGATGATACCGATGCTGCTAGTCCTGCTGCTGGCGTCAAAGTGCCCGAGAGCGTGTGGTCCTTGCGCGCAGACGGACAGCATGAGCGGTGTCTTGATTCACTGCTAGATGGCAGAACTTGTAGGTTGTTAGACTTGATATGACTCAAAGTTAACATCCTTATCAATATGGCGTAAGCCTCTCTTAATCTGTGAAAGTAGAGAAGATTATGTGAAAGTCGATTAACGTTATCGTTTTATGTTAACATGTATAGTATTCATGCACGGCGCACCTATATACACACTAATGTATCATATTAGAACTGGCACGTCCTAGCATCCTCCAGCCTGACAACACATAACTAATTAGTACACCATTTAAATTGTGAAATATAAGAGTACAGAAGTATACTTTTTCAAAAGGAACTCACTCTTACCATTGTAACTATTTAATAACAATTTCACTGCAAAATTAAAAGTAAAAAACGTAAAAACTGTTCTATTTAAACTTGATAACAAACAATTAAAACACACATGTACTTACTCTAATTTCATTATAAGACTAAGAGAATAACTTGTTTAGAAGAGTGTTTCAAAGAAAAAGTGCCAACCAAGATATTTTTACTGTTAAATGTTTTTTTTTTTTTTTTACCGATTAAATGGCGAAAACGTAGTATATTGCTATTACAATTATTTCTTGACTATTAGAAAAAAAATATTTTGAAAAGAAATGGCAGATATCAAGATATGAAAAAAAATTACAAAATGAGACCAGTTAAGTTGAAACAGGTTTTTTTTTTTTTTTAAAAAAAAAAAAAAAAAAAAAGCCAAATCAAAGAGAATTCAATTACTAATTAGATGTTATCAAAATTTTTGCAATTTTTTTTTGTCAACATGCATTTACACAACTCTCACACCCATCTAAGCTCAGACACCATAATCACGTAACACGTTGGAAATCGGTGGCAAATTTAAATATTAAAATTAATAAGCTGAGTAGACAGAGTAAGCGTGTACACGCTTGCCAAGTGTAATATTAGGGAAATTCCTATTGCTGGGTCATAGTGTGTTATTGTGTCCAGTGTCAACGTATACATAGTACGCATGCGCGTATGTGTGATTGTAATACATAGTGCTAAAACGAAGGAAGCTAGAGTAATTACTTTTTTTTTTAAATTAAAACTTATGATATACAGTATTTAAAAAAACTATACACAAAGATTTAATAAATTTCGACGTTCCAGAATAGTATATAACGCACTAAGAAAGCAAAGTACGGCATTTCTTCTCGGGTGTGTAGTTGCCTTCCAAGCCGATGGCGAGGGTGGCAAACACCCAGGAGATGATGCGGTACTTTGTTTCCGAGGCCCGTATACGATTTTACTTCTTCCTCTACTAAAAATACGACGTTTTCCCTGATTTGAGGCAGAAAAGTGCAACATAACCTCTCAGGTAAAAATCGTATTTACTGCTTATTATGGAAAGTATTTTGGCATCCTCTGCAAGGAGATTTTCTCTCGAGCCGTAGCCGAGGGTGGCAACCACGCAGAAGATGGCTCAATACTTTTTCTATGAAAAGTACATGCGATTTCTTATCTGAGTGGAATGTGGCACTTTGCTACTTAAAATCGGGGAACAAAGTCTTACTATTGGTGGGGGTAAAAGGAATGATTCATTAAAATGCGGTGGAATTAGTAAAACTTGGTATGTTCAATTTAAATTATTAGTAAAAACGCACATTCTGCATTATAAAGGTTGAATACTGTAACATTTTAATTTGCCAAACTCATTTTTCAAGTATATGCTACAATCATGAGTAAGAATTTGCTTTCATAATCGAAAAATAACCCAGTACTAACCTTTAATTTTATATAAAAAACCTTAGTGTGTGATCTTTTTCTTATACTTTCTGCTTTTTTGCACTTCTAAATTCGTAAAAGGTTGTTATTTTCTGTACCAAAGATAATTAATGTAACGACGTATATTTCAAAAAGGCAACATTCAAACATCATGTACAAATATTTTAAAAACAATCTTTAATGGTATTGTTATTGCAAACTTTTACTTAATATTAGATAATTCAAGTGTAAAATCTCATTCTTTAATTTCTCTCTCATAAACAAACTACTAGTACTTTTGAAATGTGTATAAGTCCTGAAATAACCTTTAAACATTGTATTGATAATAAATTCTATAATAATTATAACCGTGATCACACGTTTTTATAAAAGTTTTTGCTTTTTTCACGTTTTTACATGTGTGGAAAGAAATGTCCTCGATTGTATTCATTGAAAGTGTAGTACAAGGGTACGTAAATAGGAGATACAGTTCTTATATAACGTTTTCATATTGTAAAGGTGACCTCCAATAATAACTTGTTTCCCTGCTTACCTTCAAAATTTGTTTATACAAAGGATGAAACTCTTATTACGATATCAGATAAAATGCTAGTGTTTGAATAAAGTACTTTTAGTTAGAGCATAATCTAATAACACTTAGCAAGTAATCTTTGGTTAAGTGCTGGTATAGTCTTTGAATTATTGCTTGCTTAGATGATTATAAGATCCTATCATCTTTTAAATCACACATAAGTAAAGTACTACTACACATCAAGAAGTGTAACAGTCTCCACATAACCACGACGGCTAATTTTGTTGACCTTAAAATTTTTTTTCTAATACTATTTGCTCATGTTACACAAAAAAAAAATTGTGGGAATCTGCGGTACATTTTATATGTAAAATGTAAGTGCGTATAACTTGGATTTGATAACGTAAACTTAAGCTGCTTAATCAAATACCTCAGCTTAAGTTAGTCTTACAAATTTTACACTCTGATTGCACATGAACTGAAACGAATGTGATTTTTTACCGTTTCAAATACATGCAATTTACTTATGTATACAACAAATGTTACTGTTTTAACTTATATTTACGGTTACATTTACTGAACTTTTTTTTATAATATCTGCCTACTCTGTTCATACAATTGTTAAATCTAATTGCGTATTTCATGTGACATAAGTGAAGTATGTGTCGGAATGATAAAATGTTACAGATAAATTATATCCTTAAAATATGGTCGTATAAATTGTTAAGAATTTTTGCTAATTTAACTATTTACCGTTTTTGAAACTATTGAAAAGAGCTGCTGCTTAACGTATTACCATTCATTTATAAGCCAACTAATTTAAAAAAATATGTTCTTTCTACATGCCGCTTTTAATTGGTTTTTTAAGACAACTGCCCTAAGTAATGAAGAGTAGCGGATCTTCTGATTACAAATTTATTCTAGATCATTGATTTATAAGATTATTCTGATGTGTTATGAAGGAAGCGTCTCGATGAATGAAGAATAACATAACTGAATAATACATAATATAATTAATGATCTTCAGAATTACAATGCAACCAATTGTAGAGCTTTTAGATACTATCTTTAACAATTTTTTCTATTATTCTTGCTAGCAGATTTATAGCTGTTTATAACAAACAAAACAAGATTCTTTTTTTAGCAATAAAAAATTAAGTAATCGATCTGATATCTTATAAAAAAAAAGTTTATAACCTTATTTTCAAAAGTATAAATAATTGTATTAAGCATAAATTACCATAACGACATTTTATTATTGTATCTCGATAAAATATGAAATGTTTCAGAACACAAATTTGTTTCAGACAAAATATGAGAACTGAGTCAGTAATAATGAGACAACTCTATCTTACGGTTAGAAGAAGAGAGTAACATCGTGCTCGAACCAAATGCTCCAACAACAATAAGCATTATTATAATGATCAAGAACCAAATCCTACAACAATGTCAAGTTTTTCGAATTCTACAAAATAAAGTGATTCATGATTTTATTTTTGTTTCTAATACGTTTTAGAAATAAATTAGATGACTTGAAATATGACATGAATAAAAATTAGATAAAAGAGTTGTTCACGAAATAATACAATACTTAATAAATAAGTAAAGAAGCTCCATGCACAGTTTTGTATGTTCTGAATGAAAGTGTTTAGTTCTAAATACACAGGTTGTCTTACAAGATGTTTTAAAATGTTTGTTTATTACGACATAATCAGTCATTACTTTATTATAAAGTATTTTTTTACTTCGTGAATATAATTACAGTCGTTAATAGTAGTGTCTGGTTTCTTTTGTTTTTCCAATAATAATAGCATAGATACTAAAAGATAAATATTTCTGTTAAAAATATGCTAGGTAAAAACACACATATACGGTACTTCGTAGACTCGGGGACGCTGAATGAAGCGAGAAATCATACGTCCCAATGGAAGGGGGAATTGCGCGATTGGGAAAAGGTGCCGTGGAAGGGCTTTTGCGAGAGAGACACGTATTAAAATCGGAAAAAGTTTTCGTTTTTCTTTGGACTCTCATGGTAAGAGCATCGAGGGTCAAGAAATCATCCTTAATTCGGTGTCGAGGACGTAATATCAAAGCCAAGAGGCAGAGTCAGGGCAGCGCTTCTTTTTCATTTGTCATCGTTCATTTCTCGTTTCAGTTTTTTTTTTTAATTGGTCGTAAGTAATACGAGGTCCTAGCATTCAGATTTTGAGATTTTGGCTCGCAGACTGCTTGAAAAGGTGGTCCCTCATCACTGAGACAATAATACCCTAGTGATGGTCTTAGCGACGTGTCTCAACTCAATTGATGGTGTCTCGATTTGCTTTTAATATTTATACCTTTTATTTTGCCCTTTGTGCATCTGGTATTTCCGGTTTCCGTATGATTGCTAATATTTTGTCCCTCATCTCTTTCTCGAACGAACGCACCGGAAGGGTTACTTACGTTATGTTTGAGAATTTTTCATAGTTATGCTCAATTTTGATATAAAGAGACAATTCGTAAAGAACGATGTTATTCAGGTTTTGTTTTATTTCATTGCGTACGTAAATCAAATGTAGAAGACACGATTTTTTTTAAAAGAGTAAGACCGTTTAAATATAATTTGCATATTAGCCATGTTTTTTATTACCGCAAGAGTCAATGAGAGACTTTGAGATCTTAACTGATCTACATTTTTCTTTAATTGATAGTTTCTACCTTTTTGAATATGCGTTATTGTAATTAATTATAAGGCAGATCAATCATTCTATTTTAATTAGATTTTATACGTCCATATTAAGAATTACATATTCAGCAGCATGGTTTGAAATTCATTCGATCATAATTTATTTTTGAGGATTTTGAATGTGTGAAAAAGATATTCAAAACACAAAATGTAAAATTACCATTTTTTTCATCCATGTATTTAATGACAATAAGATTACATTTTTTATTGTTGTGCCATATATAATTGCTGTCATAAATTGCAATTTAGAAAAACAACTCAGGAATCGTTACACAATCTTTATTGTCGTCATTTGACAAGATATGCCTCTCCTCAAACCCCACACAACCTTGCAAACATCTTTTAGACAGGCATTTCATCTGACCCGCATCTTAGCGTAATGTGAAAAAGCATTACCTAAATTTTGTATCTTCAAAATAAATATTAATAAAATAAGAGAATTTGAAAAACGCAATGCAAACGTGTAAAATAACATTAGCATAAAATTTTTTTTCAATTTATTGAATAAAAGAATTTTTTTTTAATGATTTGCATAAAAGAGTGAGATATCAAATTCGTTTAATTGTATGTGCAATCAGAGTGTAATGTCTATGAGACAAACTTTAGGTGAGGTATTTGCTTAAGCAGGTTAAGGTGATGTTTTTAAAACTAAGTTTTATGCACTCACATTTTACGTATGAAATGTACAGTAGGTTTTCACAATTTTTTTGTGTAAAATGAGCGAATATTATTGGAAAAAAATTTCAAGGTTAACAGGATAAACCTACGTAGTTATGTGAAAACTGTTGCACTTCTTCGTATGAAATAGCACTTAACTTATGTGTGATTTAAAACGTGATAGGATTTCACAATCTTTAAAACAAGCAATGATTAAAAAACTATAAAAAAATTCAACCAAAGATTATTCATTAAGTGTTATTAGGTTATGCTCTAACTTAAACTACTTTATTCAAATACTATTATTTTACCTGATATCGTGATAAGAGTTCCTTCCTTTGTATAAACGAATTTTTAAGGTAAGCTGGGAGACAAGCTATAACTAAATGTCCCCTTTACTGCATTAAGAGGTTATGTAAGAATTGTATCTACTATTTATGTATCTGTGAACTTGACTTACAGTAAATACAATCGAGGAAATTTTTTTGTTACATTTGTAAAAACGTGAAAGAAGTTAAAACTTTCAGAAAAAAGTATGGTTACGGTTATAATTTGTATGGAATTTATCATAAAGACCACGTTTTGAGGTAATATCTGGACTTATACACATTTTTAATGTACCAGTACTTTGCTTAATTGTGATAAATAAAAGAATGAGTTTGTACACTTGAATTATTTAATACTTAGTTAAAATTTGCAGTAAAAATGTTATTGAAGATTGGTTTTACGATATTTGTAGATGATGCTCGAATTTTGTCATTTGTTATTATACATCATTATATTCATTATCTTAGATACAGAAAATAACAACTTTTTACAGACTCGAGAGTGGAAAAAAGTGTAAAGCATAAAAAAAAGGGCACCTATCCGTATTTTTTATGAAAAATTAGAGGTTAGTACTGGGTAATTTTTAGGTTTCAAAAGCTATTTCTGACACATGATTGTAGTATATACTTGAAAAACGAGCTTGGCATATCGGAATCTTACAGTTTTTAACCTATGTAATGCAAAATGTACATTTTTATAAATGATTGTATTCATACATACCAAGTTTTACATAGTTTTTTGTGTTTCAATGAGTTTTTCAGAATGTCGAAATTTTTAAATTTTTTTCTATAGTTTTCGAAGACTCTATAAATCACAAGCTTTGATTTCAAGAAAAAAATATTGCTTTACCTTTCTTTGTTTTGAAACTATGTAAAAAAAAAAAAAAAAAAAAAAAAAAAAAAAAAAAAAAAAAAAAAAAA